GATGTATTTGCTTCATTTTAATGATTGACAGTGTTGTGCTTGTTTAATTTGATGCATGGAAGGTACTGTTTTGCATAAGGATATGTAAGGTAAAGGGTTTGCTATAGAAAATTGGGAACCATGTGAGCGGTGGTACGATTTTAGCTGCCCAAGCAATCACAAGCACCATTGGATACTTTGTACAGCTCCCACAGGCCCTTGCGTCTTCATTCGAAAACAGTGGTAATACTGTTTTGCAAAGCTGCATTGCTTTTAAAGTCACTCTGCTGGGGGCAAGTATTAAGTTCGAAGTGAGTTGTTGATGTAAAGCATTGACTACCTATGAAAGTTTAGCACACTTTAGAAAATGAACTAAAGAAAGTCTTATGTAGGCAAATTCTTTGAGGATTCATTAATCTCCCAAGTAAACCCTAAGTGCGCATATGAGAACTTCAGGCTTTTAGCTTTCTTTCCAGAGGTCAGTGTGTGTGTCTTCCTCTGTTAAAAATGCGCTCTCTAAGGGCAGGGCTGGGTCTCACTCTCTGCTCTGTCCTGCGCCCACCATGGACCTGATGCTCAGGAATCTTGGTTGAAGGAGACTGAAGGAGTGGACTCTTACCTCCCTTAAAGAGGAACTGACTTTTAATTCATTGTGTGGTGAATTCATATCTTGGTCTTTGTTGCTTATTTAAATATTGCTTAGTGCCTCTAGCTAAACTAGAATTTTCTCTCAACAGTCTGCTTTGCTGCAACTCTAGTATACCCAATTTTGGATACTTTGTATTACATATATAAAGAAAAGATCATGCTAATTTCATTAAAATAAGTTATATTTCTATCAATAATTTTCTATTAAAAATTAATAGGTATTAGCTTTTTATAGGCTCCCCTGGTGGCTCAGACAGTAATAAAACATCTGCCCGCAATGCGGGGCGCCCAGGTTCGATCCCTGGATCGGGAAGATCCCCTGGAGGAGGAAATGGCAACCCACTCCAGTACTCTTGCCTGAAAAATCCCATGGAGGGAAGAACCTGGTGGGCTACAGTCCACGGGGTCGCAAAGAGTCGGACACGACTGAGCGACCTCACTTTCACTTTTAAGCTTTTTATAACAGTATTGGAAATGTCTCCCAAAGTTTTCCTGAGGTTCTAAACTATTGTAAAATGAAAGCTGTTATTATTTACAAATTGTTGTTGTTCAGTCATTTAGTCCTGTCTGACTCTGAAATTACATGGACTGAAATCCACCAGGCTTCTCTGTCCATGGGGTTCTTCAGGCAAGAATCCTGGAATGAGAAACATTAAAGTTTAAACAGCATTTAAGTATCTATAGACTGAAAAGGAAAATACTAGTTGCCAGATTTCTTGCTTTTAAAAATTAATCTAGTAAGGAGAGTATGTAGATCAAAACATAAAATAGAATAAGTATGTAAGCAACATCTGAGAATTCAATTCTGATTAAGGTAATGTTGCTGTACATATATTAGCTTTTAAACTAATAGTTTTCTTTGATAATAGATGTCAAAAGAATTTTAGTATCCAGCCTCTGTAGATGTTATCATGTTTCATAGTTAGCTATTGTGTCAGAAAAGTATAAAACTGCCTATTAAGAGAGTCCTCTGGTGGGTAAAGATCCAGAAGGATGCTATATATCAATTGGAATCATTCTTGCTAATAGGGAATTGTGTTATTTTCTATTAGGCACAGCATAGCTTTAGAAATTTCTACTGAAAGTGCTTCTTTGTCATCTTTAGTCACCTCCTCTGTCTTAGGAATAGCTTTGTGGGAGGTCTGAGGTTCATGAACCAGAATTGTATCACAGGGGAGTTTGTTAGAAATGCAGAATCATGACCTTTTACAGACTTAACTAAATCAAAATCTGCATTTTTACAAGAACCCAAGTGATTCACATGCCCACTGAAGTTGGAAATGCACTCAGGTACATAACCCTCCCCTCCCTTTCTTACATTATCTTGGATTGCCTTCTTTTAGTGCAAGGGAGTGAGCAGGCCAAGCATGTTGTATGTGTACCAGCTTTCATTTGTGTGGGTGGAGAGAAAAGTAGACCCATACTTAGTGTAAATACCTCCTTTTTCCCACAGGGGTACCTCCTGAAGCCATGTAATATTTTTAATTGCCTCCCACATAAGTTGATCTTTCTAGCTCTGCTAACATCTAAAATATCTAGTCCCTTGGCCATGATACTGTTCTCCACACCACCGCCACCTCTGAAGCAAATTAACCATCTGCCAAAGATTCCAAAAGAGGAAAGGGTTGGTTTATGAACGCAGTGATGTTTTCAGGCGTTCACTACAGTGATGAGCATCTTAAGCCCCCACACCGTGCAGGCCGCTGTCCTCATTGCTGGACGCATAAGATGAATTATGTCAGGGCTGTGCCTGCCGTGATGGGCACACAGGCATAGAACGGGGCTTGCGAGCAGGGGGTCCGAGGTCTGCAGTAGGGCCCTGCCCGTCCCTACCGGCCCCATGTCCTCCAGTCGCTCGGCTCCTCTGAGGGTCCGCCTTGCCAGCCGTGTGGGGCTGACAGCAGTGTGTTTCTCACAGTGTGGCTAGGAGGGAGCATGAGGCCGTGCTTGTGGGGTGATTAATGTCCTTCACGGCGTCTAGTAAGCACCCGGCACTGTCATCTACATAGACACCAACTCTTGTGTGCATTCAGAGCAGTGTTGACTCATTTCCGTAGGGCAAGCGCAGTGGAACAGAGGCAGGCATTGGAGCTCCCTGGCAGTCTCAGGGAAGAGAACCCAGCCTCAGAAGGGAAAGGCGGTGGAGGGTTTCCCAGAACACGGGATTTTGTGGGTGGGTTTTGCAGGACTAGTCAAGTCTACCAGGCAGGGAAACGTGAGAGATATTTCAGATGCAGAAAATATCAAGTGGCCAAGTCCAGTGGTATGAAAGTTCTCATCTGGGCAGCAGCAGGGAGTGTTGGGCCTGATTGGACAGGGCGGGGGAAAGTGACTCGGAGCAGCTCCCTGGGGCCGTTACGGAGGGCTGGTTATGTATATGTGGATTTCTGAGACATTTGAACCTGACAGAGTGGGGAACTGGTGAAAATGCTTCCACTGGGGAGATGGGATAGCTGTCCATGTAGCGACTCGAGAGATCGGGCCTTCAGGCGCTATGGCCGTAGACTGTTAAAGACTCTCAGATGTCTTTCCCTTTGCCCCGTTTCCCCTAAACTCCACATCCTGCTTCCTGGCTGCCTGCCATGTCCAGATAGCATGTACAAAACCAAGCTCCTTCCCTTCAAACTTTGTTCTTCTGCCTGTATTCCTCCTCCTGAAAAAACAGATAGCATTGCCATTTCCCGAGTTCTTCAAACTGAAGATTAATAGTGACTGTTGAAGTGTCCTCTTGCAGCAGCTCCTTCCTCTGCGGTGTCCCTCCGCTCTCTCCCTTCCTTGGACGAGTTGGCCTTCTCTTTTAAGTCCTCACCCCCCTTCCTCTCCCTCACCCTGCCACAGTCCCGACGGGCCTCACCTCCGTCCTCCGCACTGTCTCCACGGGGTCGTGAACAGAATCGAACTCTGTTAGCCCCTTTGCCTTCAGGTTACAATCAGCATTTTCACCAGACAGACCACAGCCTGCACACACGCTTCCTGGTTTACTCCTGAGTTCCACTAAAAGGTCCTCTCATCATTTCATTGTGAATAAACTGACTTTTGGTGTGGAAACAACCAGACTCTGATGAAGCACATTTAATTTTGAGTGGAATTGCAGAAACTTGTCAGGACTCCTTGTTAGAATTGTAGATTTCCTTCCAATGGCATCACCGCCTCCCTTTTTTAATTACGTGAACCAGCTGGATGGGAGAAGAAATTGTTTCTTAAAAGGCACTGGTGTCTCTTGACTGGAAGCTTGGACCGTACTGAGTCACGCACCCAAGACTAGAAGGGCACGCTTTGGAGCCCTCCAGCTGTTGTTCATCCAGCTGTCACTCCCAGACTTTGGATTCAGTGTTTACATTTGAAGAGATTTCAAAAACAGCAACAGAATGCTGCAGTTTCTCTTCTTGTTACAGACTGAGGATGGTGAAGCACACTTGGATAATTTTGAGTGTAATGGCGCTCATACACTTAGATACGGAAGCTGCCCTTCCTGTCTGGGCCATCTGGTCTCTCTTTTTTTTTTTAATACGCTATAACTGTAGAAAGGGTGAGATACGTTTTTTCAGGGCAAACAGTGCACCTTTTAAAGGAATTCTAACTATTGTATATTTTACAGCTGTTTCAGAAATATCTATTTTGTTTAGATTACTTATTACTAAATTCCTTGTGAAAATTCCATAGGAGTCCAGTACCTACAAATACGCTACTCTGTAAAAGATAATGAGCCGCCAACGCTTCTTACACTTTATAAGTTCCTTTCCCTCGTTTTCTCCACTTTTGAAATTTAACATTTCTCTGAAAATATTCTTTGTTTTAATTTACTACTAGAAGGAACTGTCAGGTAAGATTAATCCTATAAATATATAAATGAAGAAAAGACCTTATGTATGTATGTATATAATAAAAGACCATATGTATATGTAATACATGTATGTATAATTAATGTACCAAAGGACTGGTGTTTATACAGTTGTTTTGTATGCTATTATATTGAAAATTAAATTTAGTGTATGATAATATAAATAGGGAAATTATTTGCTCATTCAGAATTTGCTATTAGTTAAATCCATATCTTTGTATATAATCCTTTCTATTAAAAGGGCTTTGGGGAAATTGAATTCAGGCTTATTAGTACATACATTCATGTATTGGCACATGGGGGCCTATATTTATACTCTCAAAAGAACTTGGAAATTGCCACATAACTATTCTACTTTGCAGTAATTTGCCCTTAATGTTTTTCACCAAAAATTTAGACATAATATTTGGAGATATTTCTTGGTGAACAGTTACTTTCATTTTAAATTGGAAATATCATCTTCCTGCATCAGGCAGGAGAAAGTGAAATAATGAGTTGTTAAAAAAAATAAACACTTATTTTTGTCTTTCAGACCTGAGGATTATCGGCTGTAGGAGGAAGAAAATTTCAGAAAATAATGGTGTGGTGCTTGAAACTCCTTCCTCAGGGCAGGATGAAGCAACAGCTGCCTTCTGACAGGAAACCTGCTCTGGGAGCTGAAAGTTTGTGGGGAAAGGTTGGGAAGGGATATTCCTCCATTAGGAAATTGCAGTAAAATGTTACTTTATAGAACTGTTTTAAAATTGTGTAATGCAATTTGAATGTTGGAAATGGTAAGTAAAACTGCCCCTTACCTAGCTCGGCGTCTCATTTGACGGGACGCGCAGGCCCAGTAGCGCAGCAGCTGTGGCCGCCAGGGGCCCGTCAGCGCGTCTGCTCAGCCCAGCTCCCGGCTCTGGACGCCTGGGGCGCGAGGCCCTCCTCGTCTCCTCCCAGGGACTGTTGTATCCAGCCCACCAGCTCAGCGCGGCAGGGCTTGCCTGAGCTCTCTTCACGCTGCGTCACCTTCTTCTGTGTCCCGTAGAGCTTCCTGGTTTCCAGGACACTAGGCTGGCAAGCAGTGCTTCTCTGCTCCCTAGAAACCTCGCTGCCCCACCTGCGACGCTGTGTGTCCGTGTCTGTCCTGCTGGCTCCTCTGCGCCTCTGTCCTGGGCGCTGGGACTGGCCCGCTCAAATCAGTGTGTCCAGCAAAGTCTCCTCTGGAAATTAAGCAGCTAAGACGCTGCATTTGGGATTTTTATGGTAGTGTGCCCAGCCAGTCAAGAAGTGAGTTTCAGACCACTTCTCCTGCTCACGCAGCAGACGTACACTAAGCCTGGTACAGGCTTTGGGAAACAGAAGTCACATGTCTTCCCCCCACACCTTCACACCCACCAAAGAGCCTGCCCTCTGTCGCGGGTGGAAAGGAGCTGGGGATCGACCCGCACGTACATAGGTCCACCTGGGAGTTGTAGGTGCTGAGGTAACTAGGAGCTATGAGTTAAGTCCACTGAGGGGAAAAGAGTAACGTTAAACATAAAGCATCGCTGTTAAGCACTTTTAATGGGCCAAACACATCTGCTTTATATAAATTAAAATTAATTCCTACATCAACCAATATTGTACATTTAAAAATGGGCACAAGAAGGTGGCAGTAAATAACTTGACCACATCACAGACCTGCTGAGCGGTGCAATCAGGACTTGAATCCAGGCGGTCTGGCTCAGAAGGCCATGGACTTAGCCACCACTAGATGAGAGAGAGTGAGTATGTATGTATTACAAATTCAAAAATTAGCATGACCTGCTATAAGTCAACAGCTATTGCTCACGAGGAGCTGGCAGTTACGTTTTAGACTTTTGGACCAGAAAGAAGCTCCAGCTCCTTTTGACAAGTGATGTTGGGTGTGAGCTGGTGTGAAAAAAGCCCCCAGCTCCTGGTAGAGCAGCTTTCGTAGGGAGGGTTTCTGTATCCCCAAAAGCGCTGGGCCTCAAGCACCTAGAGCCCGGCCCGGTACGTATCCAGGAGACGCAGGTCCGACCCCTGGGTTGGGAAGATGCCCGGAAGTGAAAATGGCAACCTGCTCCGGTATTCTTGTTTATAAATCCCCGTGGACAGAGGAGTCTGTGGGGTCCCAAAGAGTCGGACACGACTAAGCCACACACTGGCCTGTCCCTGTCAGCCCTGCACTTCCACGGGTGCAGAACCAGCGGGTGCAGAGGGCTTCTGACGCCACACCACAGTGTGAGGGACTCGGGTTTTCAGATCTTGGCGTCCATGGGAGTCCTGGGAACCATTCGCCCACAGATACTGAGGGACCAGTGTTTTAAATGTTCAGTTAAGAGTATTAAGACTCTCACTTGCTGAGTGAGCACCCATTTGACCACGGAGGTGGGGGCTGTCCAATCCTACAGACCCATGTAGACCTAAAAGGGTTATATTGGACTGAATCCCTCCTGCTCTCGGGGGCTCACTCCATTTTGCTTTCAGAGTAAAGAGGCTTTTGTACCAAATGGCTTTCAGAAGCAGATGCTATCAGACTTCCCAGTCCTGCCCCTTCGCCTTTCCTTGAGGGTTTAACAGCCAGAGCTCTGTCTGTCTTCGGAGAACATAAACACAGGGAGCCAAATAAAATTCACAGCTCGTTGTAGGGGACTGGGAACTTGAGGGGCAAACAAGCGAAACTGTTAGATTCGTCACTCCAATTAAAGTGGGTTGGATGGAAGAAACAAGAGAACTGAAGAAAAAAACACAAACTCTTACATAAAAAGGGAAATTCTATTCCAAGGATCACATGGGGAGGGAAAGAAAGCTGATAGACATACACTTGCAACATGTGTCTGTAAGGTGCAAATTAGATAGGGAGTCAAGTCACTAAAACCAAAATTCTGTTTGTTCATGTGCAGTTTTTCACCAGGTGCTAAGTGTTATGCTATTGAGTAACACCAGCTAAGTGTGAAAAACAACATCCAGTTGAACATAATGACCGGCGGAAGAACAGTCCACAACAGCTGTCTCTCCATTTTACCCATGTAATTGCCTGCTGTTTTCAGTAAAGCATGAGTTAGTGTCCTGATTATAAGTAGCAAAGGAAAAGGAAAAACCTTAAGCATTGCAGAGTTATGAAAGGAGAGAAAATGTAATTTTGCATTAGCCAGAGGGCATAAAGTAATCGCATTAAAGAACACAGACACTTAAAAAAAGCTTAATCAAGTTTCCAATAACCTGCTTTCTGGGGAACTGAAAACCAAAAAGCACTCATTTGCAATGGATTAAGGATAACTGCGGTTTCCTAGGTGGCTCAGGTGTAAAGAACCTGCCTGCCAGTGCAAGAGACACGAGACACGGGTTCAGTCCCTGGGTCAGGAAGATCCCCTGGGGGAGGGCACGGAAACCCACTCCAGTGTTCTTGCCTGGAGAATCCCTATGGACGGAGGAGCCTGGCGGGCTGCAGTCCGTGGGGTTGGGATGAGTCAGACACGACTGAGCACACAGGATAACTTCACTCGCTGCAGCCGGAGAGCACACGTGTCCTCTAAGCTCAGCTGGGGTCCTGCAGACGCTTCTCTGCAAGAAGGGGCGAGCCCCAAAGCCAGGAAAGCTGGGTTTCTGTTTTAGGACAGTTCAGGGAAACAAGAAATAGAGCAATAAGCCACAGATACCAATCTCTGCTTTCCCATTTAATTCGGAAAACTACAGTGCTCCTCCCAGCTCTCCTCAAAAGCCACAACTGTTTGCTATCAACACCTCCACCAAGCAAGCTTCATGTCTTATCAAAATAGCATTCTGTATTTACTGCAATTTTTTTAAATTAGGAACTTGTTTAAAATTCTGAGAATTTTCTTGTATCACAAGATGGTATAAGGTTTGAGATTTCTGCCATTTCTGCCTTGAATCTGTTTTCCCATAAGCCCATAATACATCATGCAGGGATTATTTTTTAGGACTGTATATGCCACTTCATAGTACAGACAACTGTACTCACGTATAAATCCTGGTTTAGCACATCCTTCCATCAGGCAGACTCTTCTTCCAGGGTGGGTCCTAAGAGGTCACACTCGCCCGACCCCAGAAAACAGGGCCAAATGGGAGATCCTGTACTCAAAGTCTGGCGTCACTCCCATGTCACGCCTGGGTCTGCGTAGGGTGTGCCTCACTGTAAGGTCTCTTGAATGGGTGCGGTGATGCCTGTGACACAGCCAGCCGTTGTCTCCAGGCCTGGGGGATCCCAGGGTTCCACCGGGACCTAGCCAGGGGGCCTAGACGGCTAAGGACCAAAGCCGTCCTCTACCCAGAATGCAAGGCTCTCCTTTCTCTGCCTACTTCCTCCTCTAAATTTACAAAGTGAATACAAGAGCTGTGGTCAGTGAGACTGATGAATAAGGTCTCTCTGTTTACAGACTGGGCCATAAGCTGGCCCAGGGGCTAGGCTTGGAGTGATGAAGCAATTCTGCAGTCTTTAAAAACAATTGAAGAGCAGGATTTGGTTTTACTTCTCAGGTTTACCCCCAAATGAAGGAGGTTTTGAAGAACTACATGCAGTTATCAGATCCTCTACTATTCCTTCCTTCCCCTCCTTTCTTGCTAATTTCCTCCTCGACGGATCCACACAGGGTCACAATACCTGTGCCCCATTTATTTTTTTTCCCGAGTCTGCATGATTTGCTTTCCTACCTTCTCCTGGACAAGGAAGTTAGTACCACAGTCTGTCAAGAATAACATTACGTGTCCAGGTCTCTCCAGGCTGAAAATTCTCCCATAGACCAGGTAGCAAATCCTGAGTCCTCAACCTGAAAGCCCCAGGAAGGATATAGCTGCCAATCTCTACAATGCCAAGTTTCAACTGGATAGAACACTATTTACGAAGGCTTGATCTTTCCAAGACAGACATTAAGATTCCATTTCAACTTAAGGACAGGTTCTTGCAGAGAAACGGTATTTCCCCCACCCCTCCTTCTCTCTCTCTGCCCCAAAGTCTAAAATAAAGAGAACTGAGTAGTTTTGCAGCATCACTACTACTCAGCACTCCGCCTTCAAGAAGAACGTGAACCTGAGACCGGCCCTCAGTAAAGCAGCCGGTCCCTCCAGCTGAGGCTGACTTTCGTCAGGCTGGTGGCCAGGAAGGTGTCGGATCCCTTTTCCAACGAGGATGGCACACACAGGACCAGGCGGGAGACACACTCAGGCGCCAGGGCCACTTGGTTCACGAAAAGCTCTCTGCTTTCCAACAAATCTTTATTTCCAGCCTTAATTTTGCTTCCACTGCCTTCACTTTTCAATTCCAAAATTAATACCTAGTAAAAGCTTGCACAGTGACTGCCAGAGAGTATCTTGCTCACGGCACACCTGTGCTCGATAGGTTGGGCTTGTGGAGCTCCAACTTGTCAGCCTGTATTAAATCATGGAGAAGCAGCACTTTAACAGTGATGCCATTTTAAAGCATGAAACTGAAAAGGGTTTTTAATATTTAGAGGAAGTTCTGAGCATAAAGTCTATCTGTCTCTCACTTTGGGGCAAATTCGCAAGGTCCAAATAAAATAATTTTTAAGTTGTTAGAGAAGTATTACGAATTACTTTATTATTATTCATTGTTAACAGCACAGTAGATAAATCATGGAGAAATGTACATACGTGTGTCCTTCAGAAATTCTGATCTCCAAGTCTGAACCTTGGCAGCAGCCATTAGTTAGCCAAGTCTATCTGCTGTGTTCTTGGGCTTCCCTGCTGGCTCAGATGGTGAAGAATCCACCTGCAATGCGGGAGACCCGGGTTCGATCCCTGAGGCAGGAAGATCCCCTGGAGAAGGAGATGGCAG